TGCCCTGTGTGGGGTCTCGGGGCACAGACGCTGTGTCCCGTGACCTCCCCCCCCTCCGGCAGGTGACTTACAAACGCTCAAGCCAGTCACCCACTTGCACCTGGCGCCCAGACGCAGCGGCAACCCATGAGAAAAGGAGGAAACGGAGGGCCCCCCGCCCCGCCCTGCGCACACCAACACAGCCCTCGTGAGGGACGTCTGATGGGCGGGACCAGGAGAACCAGGCGGCGGGGTGGGAGATGTGTCAATAGAATTGTCTTCTTTCCATCCCCAGCCTTTGCTTTCGGTCCCGCTCTCATCGGTGAGACGGCTGTGAACGTTTCCCTTTGTCAGTGAAGGAAGCCGTGACTGCCTGCTCCCGCCTGCCATTTTCCCGGCCTCTCGTTTTTTGAAGGCGGTAGGAGCTGCGACAACCTCGGGGACCGCCGTCCCCAGCCAATGCCCTTCTAACTGAGATGAGGCCGCGGCACCGACGGAGCCGGCTCCCCCCACGGCCGGGCTCTCGGCCTCCGTGGGTTTCCTCCTCGCAAGCAGCGCTGTGACAGGAGCTACCCACGGGCTGTTCATCCCGATGGGCTAGAAAGTACTTGGGGGCTCAGTCTGGCAATAAGGTGCTGGATGATCGGGCGGGGTGGTGTCCACACTGGGGGTGAAGTGTCAGAAAGTGCCCAAGGCAAGCAACACAAAACACCAGGCACCACGTGGGCAAATTCTCCGGGAAGCCAGGGAAGCGGGTCCTCCCACAGGACTCCCCCCGCCCCCCCCCCCCGCACGGCTGGCCTTCAGCAAACCCCTCGTTGCACACAGCAGTGATAGCGCCACGGGCCAAGCCTCAACTTTTAAGGTGATTTTCATATTTCTGCAGCATCCTCGGCCCTGAATCCTTCCAACAAGAGCAGGAGAGAGCGGAGCTGCCACCCACAGCTGACGCTCCAGCGAAGAGCTGGAGACGATGGAGACAGGACCCCTGGGCAGCAATGCCCGAGGACGTCACCTGGGAAACACCGCATTTCCTGCTCCCGGGGGCTTCTGGCTCGCGCAGCGCTGCTGCTGCGCACTGTGCTCTGCTCAACGGGGGGAAGACGTATCTTCCCGGCAATAAATCTTTCACAAAGCAGGTGCCACGCCGGCCCCTGGGGTGACAGCCATGCCCTCCAAGAGTGGGAGGACGTGCCCGGGTTTCGCTCAGTGGTGTAAGAAGGGCTGCTGCCAGGCAGTCAGCAGCCTGCGAGGTCCTAAAGGCTTCTGGGTGGGGAAGGCGAGGCCGGAGGTCAGCCCGATGGGCAAAGAGTCTGCCTGGTGAGCGGTGGCCAGCTGGTCAGCACGGAGAGCCAGCAGGGGCCAAGGACGCTGCAGGCAGAGACAGGGAGGCTGCGTGGCCCGGTGCCGTGGACCACAGCAGCAGAGGACCGAGGAGCCTTGGGGTGTGCCAGGTGTTTGCCCTCCAGGCTTTCGGATGGGGGAGCCCATCGGTCAAAGAGTGTGCTGGGACGGTCACTGGGCCACCGCGGAGAAGCGGGGAGGCTGGAGGAAGACCCGGTCAGTGACCCGGCAGAGGGGAGAGCGGAGGGGGGCGCGTGAGAAGCACATTTCAGATGCAAAGGGTGTGGTGTCCGACTGGGGAAGGACGCATCCCAGTGATACCCGAGCTTCTGCCCTGGGACCGACCGGAGCAGAATGCTGCCCCTCCCGAGAGGGGAGGGAGGGAGGGAGAGGCTGGCAGTGAGGCGACAGGGAAGCCCATCAGGCACGGAAACGCCCACGGTCATCAGCTTAGGAACATATACACAGGCCTAGGAGCCACAAAGGGGTCTGGGCTGGAGACAGTACGTGAGGCAGATACAGGCGAGAAGACAGGGGAGCCCCAGAGGATGGGGCATTCTGGGGAACAAGGATGGGGAAGGCAGGGCCTGGGATGGAGGCCAGCAACCGCCGTCCATTAAAGCCTAGCCCGAGGCAGAGGAGCCCGCGCAGGGGCAGAAGGAGAACTACTGATGTCCAAAGGCTGGGGAGGGCCCAACAGTGCCACCGAACATCAGGGCCACCCCACGGTTACATTCTTACTGAACGCAAACACCACACGCGATCCTTCAAGGGTCCATTACTTTTTAGGAAGAACTCAAGCCTGCATAAAACCACCCCTCACATCCTAAGCGCAGGGAGAAACACAGAAGTGTGCAGAGACCCCGCTGGGCTGCAATGCACCTAGTGGGGCTGCCTACGGAGCTGCCCGCCGCGGCAGAGCCGAGGCAGGGAAGGGGCGTCCGACGCAGCGCTGCGGAGAAACAGCCTATCGGCGCTACATAACTGAGTGTTTCTCCGTTTTGTCACAAATTTCACACACACCCTTGATGTGCCTCCCCAGATAGTCTCTCTTCTGTAGCCAGCCCGGCAAAGGATAACTGAATGGGATTCTTCGATGCGCAACCTTTCTCCGTGGCCAGCTCCATACGCAGGCTGACCTCGAGGTGGACCATCTGTCCAGACGCAATGCCCTTCCCCTGGCTCTTTGAATGGCCCCCAAGCGTTTTGGCTGGAGCGGTGTGAGGACACCACCGCACCCAGTGCTCGGCCAGGAGGCGACCTCGGGGAGAGCCCCGGCCTTCAAAGGCATGCGCCACCGCATGGCTTCCGGGGGGAGATCAACCAGGAACCCCACCCGTCATTCCAAAGGGTCTCATAACCACTTTAAAAAGTCAAAGAAACAGGTGACGTTCATTTTCCTTCTTCACTTAATCTAAACCGTTCCAAGTATTTATCATCTCAACAGGCCGTCAATATAATATAAAAAAAATATTAGAGGTAGCTGATTCTTTCCTACATTGTATCTTCAAAATCCAGGGCGTGTTTGACACCTGGAGCATGTCTCCGCCTGGATGGGCCACGCAGGGCGAGCGGCCACCGTGCCGGTCAGTGCAGGTCGGAAGGGAACCTGGGAAAAGGGAAGAGCTTCCAATTCAACTAGAACATCTCCCAGAAACCTGTCTATGCTGGAGTTTTCAGGACAAGGCGAGGGGAAGACCATTTCCCCAAGTGCCGTTCGTAATTTTAAATAAATACTCCCCTGTGAAAGCACGAAGAGGCGGCAGGGCCCAGGCCACGGGCCGAGGAGAAGGCTGCAGAGTGTCCAGCCCACGGGCCTGCCCGCTTCCGCCGAGCCGGCACCGGAGCCCAGTTTCCGACCCCCGCCCCTTGGCGCCCTCTCTGCTGCAACCTTCCGACAGCCCTCGGGAGAAGGCCGGAGCTACCCGCTCTGCAGATGGCGAGGCTGGGGCCGGCGCCTCAGGCTGCTTGTTCACTTCCAGTCACCGCTGCCGGGCCTGGACCCGGCGTGGGGCCTCCGTGCTGCCCGGGCTCCCGCCACCGGCAGCCAGTCAGAAACAGCCAGGGACCCACAGCGAGACCAATGCAAACAGCCCCGGGGGCGGCCCCAAGGAGCGTGCCAAGCAGGCCTGGGCACCCAGGCCTCTCTCTCAGACGCCATCCTATGTCTTTCTACCACGTAGGACGCCTCCCCGGGGGCCGCCTTTTCCTTTGAAGATAAAATTTTTAAATGTCAAGACGACTTAAAAGCATTCTGCGTTGTTTTCTCAAACCAGCGGAAAATCCCGTGATTGGGACGCCGGTCCGGTGGATCCCAAGTGTGACTTTGGCACGGTGCCCCCCCTCCAACGCGAGCCAACAGGGATTCTCTGAGCGGCCCGGTGGCCTGCCCGCTCTTCGCGGTCCCCGCGGCAGCCAGTGGGGCCCCCTCGCCTTACTCTCTGAGCGTTCACGTGCACCCTGAGCGAGTGACAGAGTGTGAAAGTCCAGGCTGGGTCACAGAAAGCGTCCTGTTCCCGCTCCAGCCCCGGCCAGCGGGGAAGCAAACAACAGCTACCTGTGGGGTCTGGCCTTTGATTTGTTTATTGTGCAAGGCAAGCCTACCCATGTGGGATTTCTTGGCTCTTCGTGAGTGGACCCTTCTGGGGCCTTGCACTGGGCCAACCATTAATAATGGCTATTTATAGCTGCCACACTGGCTTCCACCCAGTGAGTGGAACCTTCTTGGCCAACAGGGCAAAACACTGCTGGAAGCAGCGAGGCAAAGAACCAGAGTCGCGTTTAAATACCAAACAACCTGGGTCGCCAGGTACTGGCCACACCAAGGCAGCCCCAGCGGTGGGAGGAGTAAGCCGATGATGGAAAAGTCCACGAGCAGTTCCACAAGACCCCCACTGACCCCCAAGGGCAGCAGCCACAGTGCACAGCTTTTTCACTGAAGTGGTTTCGTGAGGGGGGCACAAGGCTTCCGGGAAGAGGTAGGAAGCAAAAAGGAAATGGAAGCCCGGCTGTCCAAGTGCACAGCTCTCTGCAAGTAGAGCCTGACCCTGGGCCTCCTGGAAGCCGGGTCCAGGGCTCGCCCGGCCTTGACTGGCCTTGACTGGCCTTGACTGGGCGCTCGTCATAAACCAGGACACCTCAGCATTGCATCGGGCACCTTAAAGGACCAAGGACAGGGGGGAGGTCACACTGTCGCTAGAGGTGACATAGGTGTTTACTCTCCCTTGATTCAACTATCTTCCACCTATAGTCACACTCAGGAAGGCCTGCCGTACCCATCATGCAAGGATAAAGGATGGAAGGGCTGACGTGCAAGGGTGGAGGTCCGTCCAGGCGCAGCACGCCACCGTTCCCATCGGGAATTCAGAGCGGAAGGTGAGCGGGCTCCTGGCCCAGAAGGGCGGGGCGTTACTTCTCGGGTGGAGTGAACGGCTGCGACAGCAGCCACGGTGGCCTCCGGCCATCATGCCGTGCCTCAGCCCTTGAGGCCCCAGACACTGTAGGAAGCCGATTAACACCCCCACTTCCACGGCAGGTAGGCCACATCCCAGAGGCAAGCACACCCCTCCGCCCCCGCCCAGGGGAACCCCTGTGTTCAGAGACGGAGGGAAGGAGGGAAGGAGAGGAGGCGGGGAGGGGGAAGAGCAGAAGGAAAGGCACGCCGGCGTCGCTCTTACTTTTCTGGCAGTGATTAGTGGTCCAGCATCGGTAGTTGTACTCGTTGTTGATGGTGGTCTTCTCGCACAAGGGCTTCTCCTCCATGGTCCCCGGACACAGGTCGCCGCACTCCTTCGGGGGCTTGTTCCCCACGATGTAGTTGTTGGACACCGCATCCAGGATCAGGGACCAGTCCACCGTGGACAGGTAACAGAGGTCGGCGTTCTTCTCGATTCTGATGGCCCCCCGAGTGATGTTCCTCAGGTTGTAAAGCCCGATATCTTTGAGGTTGGTCATCTCGAAGATGACCAGGGCGTAGTTGTAGAAGAGCTTCCAGCCGCGGATGACCGTGAGGTTGGGGAAGAGGTCGCCGAGGCTCTCGAGGCCGGCCACGCGGAACAGCAGCAGGTACTCGGTGATGACGGTGAGCTTGGGGAAGCGGTAGCTGCGGTAGTCCTCTGCCTTGGAGATGAGCAGGATGTGCAGGTAGCCCTCGATCACCGTGCAGTTCTCCAGGCGCTTCAGCTGCTGGTAGTCATTGCGGATGTCGATGCCGGGCCCGCAGACTGAGGGGACACAAGAGGGCAAGGGCGGGACACACGTCAGTGAAAAGGAGGTCATTTTTAACTCGATTTTCCAACCCACAATACGGTCCGTTTTCAGGACATCTATGTTATCGTGAAGAAGGAAGACCAGTCGTGAACTACAGATGCCCGTGAGCTCACCAACCGGGCCGCTGGCATTCGGGAAGTGCCTGCTCAGGGCCGGACCTGGGCGGCACGCTCACCGCCCCCGGGAGATGCCATCCCCATCCCGTTACCATGCAAACCTCAGCTCGGAGTTCAGAGTAAGACAGGGGCACATGCAGGAGTCAAGGGCGCAATCTAGGCCGGCCCAAGGCCGCAGCCCCTGCCCCCTGCTGCTGCAGAGCTCTGGGTTCCAGTCAATGAACACGACTTCCTACTGCGTCCGGCCTCCAAGACACCAAGCAGTAAACTCTACACTGGAGACTTCCCCTTCCCATGACTGCGGAGGTACGGACCCAAAGAAGCACGGTCCCAGGTTTCCGGCTGCCACCCGACAGGGGCCAGCTGGCCTGGTGTCCTCCCCGGCGCTGCATGAATGCAGTCATAAAGGCGAATGCAACAGAAAGACAAAGAACATGCAATTCACATGACTGAGAGAGGTATACAATCCCCACTTTAACCCAGAAAGCTTCCTGTGAAAAGGCTAAGTAACAGAGAACGAAAAGATAATAAAAATCATCAGCAATCTCAACAGCCAAAGATAATCCCTGTTAATGCTACCTATACCAATTATCCTTTCTCTATAAATAATTGAAGGTAAAGGAAATCAGACGATAATGTAACATTCTCCAACGTACTTCCTTCACGGGACATCTCACCAAGTCAACAAATGTCCTTCTAAATCCTCATTTTTAAGAAAGAAAGAGTCACTCGATGCCAGGGTATGACGACGCACCACGAGGTCTTCTTTTTTCTCTTTTTCTAACCAATCCCTTCCTGTGGCACATTTAGGTTCCCTCCGGTTTGCTACATCAACCACAACACTCCTGCAAACATTCTCAGCAGATAGCCAAGACTGTTTTCTCAAGATAAATCCCTACGAGTGGAATTGAGGGGCCAAGGCATGGGGAGATTTTAAAGGCTTTAAGTAAAATGGAAGACTTTGTTTTATTTTTAAAATTCTAGATACACGCGTGTGCGCGCACACACGCACGCGCCCTTGATCACTCTCCTATCTTAGGATTTAGGAATCTCCAAACCTCCCATTAACGCTTCTCGGATAGAATCAAGTTTTCCAGTGGGTGCAGTGCATTCACTTGTGAGCTACCCAACACGCAGGATGCTGTGGGAGAGGTACAGCCCCGGAAGAGGTTGCTGGTGAAGGCCAGGAACCAAGGCGGGTGGCAAACAGCTGGGTCCGAGGCAGGAGGCAGCCAGGGCTACGCGCCCTGCCCGTCCGCTCCAGGCGCACACTGAACAGGGCAAGGGCAGACAAGGGGCAGCCACGGGGCACCCTGCAGAGAGAAAGTCCAAGTGCCCAGGGAAGCTCCGTGTGAGGGGAGGGTTTAAACGGGGCGCAACGCTGCAGCGGCCAAAGACAAGGCAGAACAAGATGTGTTTGTTCAAGGACAGAAGGCCTGACGACGAGGGACACAGAGACGAGCGGAGGAAGTGAGTTTGCTGGAGGGTGAGGGATCACGATCACAGGTGGGGATGAGCACTTCCAGGAACGAGGCCCCTCCTGAGGCTCAAGTCCTTCTGGAGGCTTAATCTGGTCCTGAGTGCAAGGCGGGATCCAAGTGCAATGGTCAAGGGAGAGGAGATGAGAAGTCCCTCGTGGGTTACAGCCACAGATGGACCCGGACAGAGTGTGGGGAGCGGGGACGCAGGGGCTGAGAGGTGAGCGAAGCTTGGGAACCTAAAACTTGATGTTTCATTGGGTCCGATTCCCTCCTCTTACTGACGAGACAATGAAGCCTCTAGGACAGAGCCGAGAAAAGGAGACACCGGCCCTCGGCGAACACCCCTGCACCCAACAGAGGCTGAGCTCGATCTGGCGGCAGCCCTGCCCTGCCTCATGAAATGCTCTCAGCAATAGCTCACACCTCGTAACACGGGCGCCTGTTGGGAGGTGCGGACAGAGACTTGGAGGAGCCGAGTCATTCACAGAAGGTCACATGCTTGACCCAAGGTTTGCGGACAGCCCTAGCTCTCAGCATCCTCACCAACCAGTTGCCCCCAACCCACCGCAGTGGAGCTTCTGCCCCATCATGACACAAAATAGCCCTTAGCAAAGCACCCAGCGACCTCGTCACCACCAAGGACACACTCCCTGTCCTCACGCCACTTGTCTCTCTCAGAGCCATCTGAGCCTTCTTCCCTCTCTAGGCCTCTCTGATTCCACACGCCCACTGACCTCTGTTCCTCTCCTCCCCGACCTCGCAGTGCTGGTCTCTGTCACCCCACCCAGACAACTGGCTTCCTGTGCCACCCACACACTGGAGGATTCTAAGTGCACGTCACCGGCCCAAAGTCCCCTGAGCCCTGAAGTTGTGTACCTATCTGCCTACCCCATCGCTCCCCTTGGGTGTCTATTAACTCATTCCCCACCCCCACGCACCTCCCAAGCTCCTATGTCCTGGTCAATGACACCCCCATTCTCCAAACAGTTCGCGTCGAAAATCCAAGGGTCGCTACCGGTTCCCCGCTCCCCTCGCAGCACAGAAAGCCCTCGCGGCAATGACTCCTCTTGGGCGTTAGGCTGATTAAAATGTCAGACAGAGAAGGGCAAATGCTCTATGTTCTCACTGACACGGGAAACCCAACACGGCCAAATTCATGAAAACAGAGGGCAGAGTGCCGGTTGCCAGGGGCTTGGGGAAGCAGGGCAATGTTGGTCCCACCCGCAGGACAGACAAGCCGTGGGGATCTACCGTGCAGCACGGTGACTGTGATTAGCAATAACTTACACTTAAAAGTTGTTGAGAGAGTAGGCCTTAACTGTCACCACCTCACCCACCAAGCAATCGTAGTTACGTGGGGGAATGGAGGTGCTCCCTGACGTTCCTGTGAGCACTTCGCAGTGTACACGTGGGTCTCGGCATCACACTGCACACAAACTCACGCATGTTGATGTTAGTAACCCCCCCCAACCCAGCTGGGGGGAAGGCCCTGTTGGCTGCAGCTCCTAAGCCTGCGGGCCCCTTGGGTGCTCCTCCCGCCATCACGCCCCCCTCCCTCAGCTCCCTGCTCCTCCAGCGCCCACTTCCTTCCCTCCCGGCGCGTGTCCACCCCCTTCAGGACCCGGCTCTGGCCTTCCTTCCCTCTGTCTCCCGCTCTGCCCACTTGCACTGTGGTGTCCACCCCAGGGCGACAGGAAATTGCCTTCGGTTTAGCCCACGCGTACATCCCGGGTGCCTCCAACAGCACTGGGCGCGCCTGTTAGCACGCGGCGTCAGCACGTGTACAGAAGGCGTGGATTCCGCCCCGTCTGTCCCCACCGCTCTCACCCGGGTCTGCGCTGTCGTCCTCTCCAGCCTGGACGACGCTGGCGCCCTCCCCAGGGCCCAGCCTCCGTGCCCCAGCCCCCTGTTGACCCAGCGGCACCAGGCCCAGGAGGCCTCCCGGGAGCACCCTGCCCTGCTTAGCACACGGCGGCCACCCAGCTCCTCCCTCCCGCCCCTGCTGCCCCATTCTCATCAGGAGCCTCTCTTCAGAGCTCTGCCCAGATGCCCCGGTTTCAACAGTCCCTCCAACAGACTCCCTCTGCCTCCCCTCATCTCTCTCCTCGGTTTCCTGGCGCCTTCCACGCTGAAGTGCTGGCGCCCGAAGGGAGGTACTGAGCAGAGCGATCACTGGGCATTTCCCCTGCTGAAAGCAGAGGGGCTGGACCTGTGTTTTTCCCATGTTCCTGTGTCTGGGCACATGGCAGCCTCCGCGAAGGGGCAGCCTCCTCTGATTAGGGGCCAAGGTGAGCCTACTTTCCTGGTTTCTACTCTTGTGTAAAAAAAAAAAAGAAAAACTTATTGATTTCAGAGAGACAAAGAGAGAGAGAGAGACTAAACGAGAGTCAGGCAGAGTGAGGGGGGAGAGAGAGACAGTGATGTGTTATTCCATTTATTCATACATTCATTGGTTGATTTTTCATGCACCCTGACCGGGGATCAAACCCACTACCTTGGTGTATTGGGAAGGCGTTCTAACCAACCGAGCTACTAGACCAGGGCCCCTGGTTTCTACTCTTGAGTTCAGTCAGCCTGGAGTGGAATGAAAAAAACAAGGTCTCTACCTAATATTTGCAACACAAGTGCTCTCAAAACAAAAAAACAAACAAACAAAAAAATCACCTAGATTTAGGTTAATGACTCATTGTGAAAGTTTTTTTTTCTTTTAAACTATTATTTTTTTCCTCTGCACAGCCTAAGAATTCATATTCCTTCCACCCCATTATAAATTAAGCAAAGCAGTTGTTCTTAAATAATAACCAGAAGTCTCTGCAGAGGAGTACTTAATCCAGTCGATTATTGCATTCGAAGTGTTTGATCAGATTATAAAGGGTTAGCATCGACTGGTTTGCGATCATTTCCAACAGATCGAGAAGCTGAGAAAGAGCGTGGGGCTCCTAACGGGAGTTTGCTGAGCTTTCACATCACAACCAAAACAGACAGTGGGGAAGCCCCATGTCCCTGGGCCCACTCCGTGGCCGGCGTCGGCCACTCAGCTAACAGAAGCCACGCTCCGGCGCTGGGACCGACCGCTTCTCCAAATGAAAGAGCTGCCTCCCCGCTGGGTGCTTCTCCCCCATTTAGAGAAGAAAAGGGGGAGGAGGAACAACCTACTTATTCCTGAAGAGAGGGCAAGCCCCAGCCAGCCACGGAGTGCAAGGCAGGACCGGCCACCAGCTCGTTTGGATTTGGGGATGTTTTGCGATGGGAACAGAAATGGGAAATCCCAGCCCGTCAGGGAGAGCTCCATACTCAGAAGGCACGTGCCACAAACAGGACAGAGAGTGTAAGGTGCTTCCTATGGGCCGCGAGGCA